TAAAGTGCTAATATAATTTGTTCCTTGAATCAACTGAAGTAATTCAAGAATCCTAATACCAAAACATCTTGCTGTAGCTTTGGTCTATCTTCCCCTCTCCACCGCCTTAATTCAGGCTAATTAAGAAGAAATTGTATCTGTATCTAGTTATTTTCCAGAAGTTTTGTGCAGTACCAGTTCTACACCATCGCAGAAAAGGAATCCTTTCTATTCTTCTTTCATATGCAATATAAAATTCCCATATTTAAAAATAGGAATGTATCATTCCAGCACAGATCCCAGAATTACTTAACCTGGAACCCTGACTGTAGCAATTACTTATATCTTGCTCCTTCAAAGAAGTTAAGATACAGAGAAGTTAGTGTTGATTACTGTCTTACTAAGTTTCACAATATAGACTCACCTGTATTATCCAAAGCAGAGAACTACTGTTTCAGAAAGTAGTAGCGTTGCAAGTGTTCCAGTGGACACAACATCCTGCCCAAATCTCCTTGCTTGTGGTATGGATCCGTGATGTGGAGAATTCGGGAGTTTACAAATGTCTGCCTTTACACAGCATACATTTTCAAAACAACCCTGATCAAATCCTTGTTTTGATTACAGACCATTTCTTTCTAAACAGGTTTGTTTACTGCTGGGTCATATACTGAATGGGGATTTTCAGTTCAAACCTGATGTCCAAATTTCTGGTGTTTTCCTCTATGCCTGTGCCAATGAAAAAGGAAGTCCTGCCTTCTGCTACATTCTCCCTTCTTATGCTCAGTCACAGTTATGCACTTATCCAGCAAGAGACACGAAACGCATGGTGGTTAGACACAGACAATATTTTTGGGAAATATAATAAACACTTCAAGCCATACAGGAAAGTTTAAGAGCTCAAGAAAACAAATGAATAGCTTTCAGCCTCTAGGAACTTGTGTTTATTCCTGTTAGGAGAAAGATGTGACAGCTGGGCACAGAAATAAACCAAAGAAAATGTGTTAAATTGCTACAGTAGAGGATTATCAATAAAAAAATGAAATGTAAAACATTGTAAAAAAAGCTGTGAGAAAAAATAATTTCCAGGACCAACCCAGGAAGCATGATCAATTTTAGTTTGCTAATTTACAATAGTATTCAAGCAAATCCAGTCATAGGCTGTGCTATCTATGGTAGACCGTACAGAAGCTTCTACAGACCCTCATGCCATCTCTGGTGCCCTGCAAAAAAAAGGAGATGTCACCTGAGACATTGTCTTGTAAAAGATGCCTACTGGAGGGCTGCTGTGGAAATCTGGACCCAGAGAACTGACTTGCCCAGGCTAGGAAAGCAGGGAGAAGAATTCTTTCAGGAATGGGGCTGCCCATGAAACAAAGACAGCTATGATGCATAGAAAGGGTCTTAGAAGAAAAGGACAATTTTCTAGGGACAGAAACTGTCAAAGGCAACCTTTCTTCTCAAGAAATGGTAATTTACTTAGCTGACTGTCAAACTCAAAAGCTGCAGGGTTTTTTATACTTCAGTATGCATGCACAAGCAGCTCAGAGGCATATTTCATCAAATTATGTTGCTTTCATGTTATCTACCTAATAAGACCTTTTTGAGTTCTTTTCCTGTGTTTTAAACCAAAAAGTCTCTGTGATGTATTTGAATCTTACCGTGAGTAAGTGAAATCTAGTCCAAGCAAATTATTTTCTGCTCAGTGTTCAACATCTCCTACAGGAGCTCTAAGCAGATTAGTGCTGAGAGCCTGAGAGAATTACAGCTCTCAGATGACTTCTCAAGTGAGGCATATAGGCATCAGCCGCTAAGATTAGTGGTACTTATAACTCCTTGGTTCATTAAGGTGCAGCCACATGGCGTTTGAAAGTGTACATGCAAACTAACTGGAACTGATGTACCATAATGAATGATGAACTCTGTAAGCCAGCGGCAGCTGACAAAAGAACTGCCGAAAGCCCCACCGGCACCTCAGTATTTCCTAAGCCGCCATGCCAGAAACCTCATGTGTTGAGGCTGCCTATGTGCCACCAAGCTTGCAGAGCCAGCTCTTTCCCAGTCGTTAGGCTGGCCCTCCCAATTACTTGCAAGGGAAATGTCCTCACCTCTGCAGTTGTGGAGCACAACAGCATTTGGTCAGAGTTGCAGATGGCAGGTCAGATCTGAAGGTGCCTGCCCCACAAGTCTAAGAAAGAACAGAAAGGTGATTTTTTTTTTTTTTTTTGATGACTGGGCTTCAATTCTCAAGGCCTTCTCTGGGAGATGTATAATTGAATCAAGCAGAATAGGCAGCCACAAAAGGCAGCCAAATTTGTGCAGTCTGATTTATCTGCAGCTGTACTGTAAAAAAAATGCCCTCCCACTGAGCCTATTTTGTGAGAACGTAATTCCTTGTCAGCTGCTTCCTGAGGTGATAGTTTTGCCAGGAAATTCAACCTGTCTATAGAACACCTTATCACAGCAGCAGAAAGAACCTGAGCATTTTATTGTTGCTGACTTGATTAGAGAGTCAAAACAGTGCAATAATAGTCATCCATGATGCTGAGTCTTCAAACAGAGATAACACTAAACCATTTGGATATAACCTATAAGCTAATGCAAGTATCTTAATATTTGGCACCATTCATCTATTAAAAAATTAGCTCTTTTCCTTACTAATATAATTATCAGTTGAGATTTCTTTCATATGTAGTTTAAAGCAGTGTAATCTTCAAATTCAATTAAAAAGTCAACTCTTTTTTATGCTTCATTACCTTTTTTCCTTGCCATACCTTCTTTTTCTAAGTCAATTAGAATGAAATGAAAGAAAGGGGAACAAACTTTGAAATGTTTTGAAACATGATTTTTTGCCTTGCTAATAAGTGTTCAATGTTTTTCTTGAAATGCAGCATTTTTCAACAACGTCTACAATTAATAAACACAACCCACCTTAAAAAAATTTCAAATTAACACAGTCTTTCTCATGTAAATTGCTCATTAAGTGAGAAAACAAAGGTCTCAAAGTAAGGCTTCATGAAGAATCAACCTAAGGCTGCTACCTTGCCCTTCTACTTCCACTCATGTATTCCCACTGCCTCCTTTGTGTTGGCAGTAGAGCTCGTGACCAGAAGGCAGACCAGATTAGCTGCCTGGGTGGCTGGAAACTAAATAAGCAGAGAAGAAGATAAATGGCAAAAGGAGCAAGAAGATGGGATTTCATCTTCTAGTAGCAGACAATATTTACATCTGCTTAAGCTCATCAAAAAATCACATGCTGAAGCCTTTTGAATAGTGGGTCAGAAAGTGTCTGCAGTAAGTTAAGATACATCCAGGACCTGTTTTAGGAAACACATAACTTATTTTTGACGTAGCTGCTAGTATTTATTTAAACTCCAATGTGAATTTGTAAATGATCTTACATATTTGTTTATGAATACGCTGCGGCTTTGGGAAGAAAACTAGTGCAGTGTCAATGGTTACAGACCCTCTAACTGGTGGAAGTGCTGTAATACCAAGTGGTGAGACTACAGAGAGACTGGAGAGTGCCAAGCTTTGGTGCTAAAATGCCACCCTTGGCAGTGGTGGCTACACAGCAGCTTCTGGCATGGCATGTAGCTAGGAAGTGGTGCTCAGCACTTGGGTCAACATCTGTGGTTCCCAAGGACACATACTGCTTGGGCAGTACTCGTATGCTGTGTTTGCAAAGTTTGCTTATCATATTCTGGGAGTCTTTGGTGCCGAGTGAAGCTTATTCAAATACTTAGAGCTTTAATTACATATTTTTCTCTTTGTTAGAACAGAAACTGGGACAACCACCCTGCTCTTGAAGTCCACCTTTCTGGTCTCTCTCCTCAAAACAGCCTTAACCACTCATACCCTCCAGCTCACCACATTTTCTACTGCCCTGTGCTCAGCCTTTACATCTCCTTGCAGCTGCTACACCCAAAAGACAAAGCCCCCGTCCCTAGCAGCCTAATACCTGAATGAGCAAATTGACTGTTTGGAACATAGATAAAAAGCAGTTTTGAAATCAGAAACCACCCTCTTACCCTTCGATGAGGCCTCTGTGTGTCCAGCTCGACGAATGCTGATGCAGCAGTGGAACAAAAAACGTACAAAAAAGCTTATGCTGCTTCTAAGGCGTGTTACCTGCCTGCTCAGTAGATACACGAAGGGATAGGTAACTACATACCTGCTGAACCACATATGTGAACTCAATTCCTGTGAAATAAAACAGGGGAAAATCCGCCAAGAGATTTGTTTTCAATGAGCACAAATATGTGGGATAGTTTTTTAGGAATTTTAATATGAAAAAAATGAGGCACTCCCATGTTTTGGGAGAAATTGAGTTCTCTGCATCCCCGTATTTATGTCAACACCCAACTAGCCCCTAGGTTTATACCAGCTCTCAGAGACAGAAGGCCTGTCTGAAAGTGACAGCAAAGGAGGAAATGAACCCACAGAAGTGAGAATATAAAATCATTTTTCCACCCCTCAAGTGAGTTGTAGGGCTGGCAACAATTACTTTATACTGTGCATGCTCCATGAGAATTGTTCTCATATAAATATTACTTCCCCAAACAGATAAAAACCCAACTTACTAGAATGCCAGTTTAGAATACTAGAAATCTACAGAGGAATTACCAGCAAGTCTCATTATATTCTGCATAAATAATCCAGGTTGTTTTGTGAACTGGCACTATGGCATCAGCATTTCTAATGCTCAAAGGGTTTGTATTTGTTTGCCCTGTAACAACGGGCAAAGGCTCAGTACTGAGTCGCCATAACGCTGCTGAGCTGTAGTTGCCAGGAGCAGCACACAACAGAAACGAAGCATCACTAACCATTACCATGTTCTGGACTGTCACAAGTCCCTGGGATGCCCAAATGACTTTTGCATGTGAGGCGGTAGCATATTCTCCAGCTGACAGCCCAGCCGGCACAGCAGAGGGGAGAGGGCAGGAGGATGGCTAATGCCACCACCGCCTTTCTTGTGTGACACTAACACAATGCAAATCTTACCAGTCTAGGAAAAAACTAACCCATCATGGAAGATTTCAGCTGGGTTAGCAAGTCGCGCTGGTTAAGCGATGGCTGAGCGAGCGGCAGAACCAACACAGGGAAAGAGGCAGGGTTTGGGCGCAGGGTGAGGACTGCACTCTTTTCCATGTCACACTGATACTTTGGGTCTGCTGCAGGACTGAAGCAGATCCTGGCCCCCAGCCCGCACCCTGGCCACAGGCAGAGAAAGGGAAACCTCCAGATTAGGGGAAATCACTCTCCTCCTTTTAAAGGGAAAAAAAATCCTAGAACTTCTTAGGATTAGCTTACAATAAAAATAAAGGGAAATTATAAATAACAGTCAAGATTTCAGAAGGTGGCAGAAGGGTTGGGTTTGGGTTTTTTGGTTTTGTTTTGTTTAAAGCAGGAGTCCTATAAAATTAAGGAGTTAAAATGCAGTATACACCACATTTTAAGCCTGTTAAGGCATCTGAAACAGTCTGGCGATCAGTATTGTCCTGGTTTCGGCAGGGATAGAGTTAATTTCCTTCCTAGTAGCTGGTACAATGCTGTGTTTTGGATTTAGGGTGAGAACAATGTTGATAACACACCGATGTTTTAGTTGTTGCCAGGTAATGCTTACACTAGTCAAGGACTTTTCAGCTTCCCATGCTCTACCGACTGAGAAGGCTGGAGGTGCACAAGAAGCCAGGAGGGGGCACAGCCAAACTGGCCAAAGAGACATTCCATACCATGTGGCGTCATGCTCAGTACATAAACTGGGGAAAGCTGGCCGGGGGGGCCGCTGCTCGGGGACTGGCTGGGCATCATCTTTATCTCAACCCACGAGTTTTCTCACTTTTACTATTCTGATTCTCTCCCCCATCCCACCGGGGCAGGGGGGAGTGAGCGAGCGGCTGTGTGGTGCTCAGTTGCCGGCTGAGGTTAAACCATGACAAATATCAAGACAGGTAAAGTCTGTCATATTCTAGCAGTTACTGTTTTCCACAAAATTAATCAAAATAAACTGCGTCTGTATGAGAATGTTTTATTAAAAATACATATCTTCTGTTTCACATAAAAAGAACCAACACTGTAATTAAACACAATGTAAGAAGTTGGACAGGAATTACTTGAAAAAAATACAGATTCCCGTAATCCCAGAGCACCCAACCTTTGACTGCATGAGCCACAAATTAAAATCTTCCTGTGTTCAAGGCCCAGAGTGCCTGTCCTGTACACAGCAACGTGCCCAGGAAGGAGCAGCTGGTCAGAGGCAGGGGTGCTAACCGCTCCACAGCGGCTGTTCCCTGGCAGAGATACATGCAGGATACATGCGTTCTTCTCTCCAAATCCAGGGAGGCCTGTCACTCCCCGGCCCTGCCGCTGGGCACGATGGTAACCTTAGCAAGAGAAATGCTGGAGTGGCACTCGGCTCAAGTGTCACAGGTCAGCCACCTCTTTCTGTAAAGAAGGAGAAATACAGCACAGCACTTCCAGTTAATTTCACTTAGGATCCAGCAGAAACTCACATTAACAGCACTGTTGAAAGAAACCCAGCCGTGCTTTGGTGATACAACATGATGCAACAGTCTTTTTGATAAAGATGACTGTAACTGAAACCTACGCTGGAATCCACTAACTTTTGAATTCCCGCTTTTCGTAACTCAGACCCACCTCAGACTTTTGGAAAGACACAATTTTCAAAGCAACAAGTTATCAGCTTAGGCAGCAGCAAATACTGATTGAAAGTTTAGTGCATAAAAATCAAAGTCAGAATACAAAAGAGCTGTCAGAGACATCTGCTATTTAAAGTGTACAGAACAAAACACTGGCTGCATTTACTCTCTACAGAAACATCAGTTTGCCAGGCTGCCTTTCTTGCTCTGGAGATACTGGAGATTCAGCTCCTTTTAAAGTCACCGAGAGATGTATTCATCATCCCTCCCAAATGATCAAAATGCTTTGTAAATTCAGGCTCAAAAAGCATACCAGACGCTGACTGTAAACCAACATTTACTGGCCAACTCATAACTTAAGCAAGGCACAAAGAAGAAAAGACACTGGGAGTGATGGGGAAGCAAGCTGACATGAAATCACAAACCAGTTGTCCCTTTGCTTTGAGCTGACAAAGGTATGTAAGGATATGGGCAGCTGAAATAGCAACAGTATCTAAGGTTGGACAACCAGAGTGACGGTAAAGCAAAGTTCAATTTTGAAGAAAAAAAAGCTGGCTTGCATGTCATTATACGTGTTCTAATCCCATACAAGTCATGATCTCATTAAAAGAAAAAAAAAGATACTTCATCTAACATCATACCTTGTAAACCTAAGGGTATTAAATTCATGTAACTTTAGAGGCCTATCTCCTTAAATATTCTTTATCATCTACACTGTTAATTCCTTAGACTGCAATTTAATCAGGCACTCTGTCTGAAAGGCCTGTCACCTTACTGACTGTGCTGGGAATTTATGACAGAGATCAGCCTCCTCGGTCAGTCCACTGAAGTCCAAGGTCTATCAGTCAAAACACAATGATTCCTCTTAATATACTGTTATTGCACAGATTGTAACAGAACAAGATTTGCCCTGCACAGCATTTGTTCCTATTTCTAATGCATGGAAAAAGGGAACGAACTAACTTCCAAGACCTCGGATGAGTTTACAGAACTGGAATTAAAGAACTCTATTTGATTTTTTAGCAAACTTGTTCTGGGATTAATGAAATACAAATATCTGCTAAGCTCCAGAATGCCACCAATCAAAATAACTTTCCTTACTGGAATGACATCTTAAACACAAGATCACAATTTGCCAAAATCAGAGCAAATCAGATACTTGCCTTAATTATAACACTCTTCAACTCACTGTCATCAAATTTCCAAGTAATTTCAAAGCCCATATTGAAAAGCTTTGATCCTTAGGGCTGACCTGCTCTGCATTTTAGAAGGAAAAAAATGATTTAAAGACACCCCAGGTTGGGAATTTATAATCCCTCCTCATCCTTGTAGAGCTACAAGGTGAAGCTCACAAGTTATTCAAAACCTCATCTTACAGAAAATAGGGATGGGAAACTTTCTCCAGTTGTGAGGTGGCAACATAGGAAATAACTGGATTTTAAAATAGCTCAACTTGAAAGGTGTTGAAGAACAAGGCTGAAGTCTTGTTCAGTAAGTCTTCACCAGTAATTAAATAAGCTACAGCATGAAAAGTCCAACAACCATAGAGATCAACTCTGAAAAATACACAAGCTCATCGTTACTTGTATATACATTGAAAAAAAAATAAATCTAGATTTAAAAATCTTTCCCCAGGGTTAAAATCCCCTTCCTAGAGAGATGTGTTATAGCTTGTGTACAGTGTTCCAAAAGAATCTTTCATAGCCTTCAGAATTCCTCATGGTTTTCCCAATCCATTTTGCAGCGAATGACATTTCTCTCCAGAACTGAATAATACTTTAAAGCCTACTTGAAAATCCATCTTTAAGATGGCCTTCAAATACAATATTCAAGCTTCTAAACAAAATTTTTAAATACAAGTGGTTTTTGTTTTAATCACAAAATAGATCTAGTGAATTTGCTAACTTATTAAAAAACAGACTAGAAATAAAATTCACAAAAAAGTTTCTAGCCTCCAGTAATCCACAAAATGCTATTACAGTACAGAAGAACATTATTAGTTAAATCAGTTTTATTTCTTCTGATAGCTACTTTGAAAATAAAGGGTAATTTGACACTAATTCTATTGCAGAAGTTCGTAAGCGGGTAGCTTTTTGTGTGTGCAGGGGAAAACAAAGAACAGTGCTACAGATCTGAATTAGTCTGCCAGATACCCTTTTCAGACATCACATCTTAAAATATGTAAGTCTAGCTGAACAAGAAACTCAGTGAACCCCCTGCCCGCATTTCCACTGCCTGCATTTGGATAATGCATGGGTGCAAGGGTCCACCTATGTAGCTCTTACAATGAGATCAGAATCAAATAATAGCTTATCAAATAGCAGAGGTTCAAACCTGCTTTGATCTCAGTAAGCAGAAGGATGAACGGATACTATTGTTAGTGTACTGTCCCAGCATTAGCAGCAATTTTGTCTGTACTGAGCTCAGAGTTAAAAAAAAAAAACCAAAAACGTTGGTCAGAAAGTAACAGATGAGAACAGCAGCGGACTTGCTGAACTCGGGTCTCCATTGCTTTGCACCTTGGGAAACTCAACCTTACAAATTATTATGCTCAGTGCAAGGCAGCAGAGAGAGTCAAGCCTGCAATTTTCAGGGTTTGAATGAGCACAAGAACTTGGCTTCCAAGACTTTGTCTTCTTAAGATGCATGTGTCACAACAGGAATGTCAATTTCTATGGCAGAGAGGCGAGAGCGTGCAGAATACGGCTGAGAGGCATAGCTGTGCATGCTCGGGGCATGGGAATAGAGGGGCTGCCAAAAAGGAGAAGGTAGGCTTTTACATGCACAGTACCACAGAAACAGCAGAATGGAAGTGAAAAACAGACCGCCAGCGCTGGCAATGGCAATAAATACAGAGATGTCAAAACTAAAGACAGGCTCATATTTTCTGTTCAGATAATTGTTATAAAAAATGACCCAGATTGACGGAGTGAGACAAATGGCACACGCGAGCAGGAACAAGAGGCCAGCCACGAGATGGCAGCCTGCACTGTTTACAAGGCATTTGGCCAATTTGATGTTTGGCACGCTTGATACAAAGGCTGTGTTACACATGCCAATCAAGCAGAGAAACAGAGCTGAGACAGCAGTTAACATACTCAGTGGAAGGGCAAACTGAAGAACACGCAAATCCAGTTGATCGACAGCAGTGTACCACTGTGGGTCATATATCACACAGTCTCTGCTCCCATCAAAGCGAGCGCACTTAATCCAGAGTCCAGTGTAAACGGTCACATTCCTCTCATTCTTGTTGAATGTGTACAGTCTCATTTGCCTCCAGTTTGGAAGCAGAACTGCTGCAAGGAGTCCAGCTACTGAGGCTGTTCCACTGAGGAAGGCCAGTACTGTTGCTGCATGAACATCCCGGCAGCCCATTCTTGCCCACAGAAGTTGTTTCCTGCAATTAAAAAGAAAAATTAAAAAAATAAAAATCAGTAGGTGAACGTTTATGGACACAGGAGTGACTAGAGCTGACTTGTGCCAGGTTAATAAACTTGTACGGCAGCTGGTAGGCAGTAACTCTCTGGCACCTCCTTTGCCTTACACATTTATGCAGAGGTAACTCTACCAAGTTCACACTTTAATGAAACCTCAGATTATTTCACAGACTGTTACGATTGCTCAGCTGACAGACTGCTAAATTCACTGTGTTCAAGATCAAAAAGGAGCACTTGAACATGCGATTCTACACAGCCTTTCACCTTGTGTCACTGCATGGACTTTTACAGAGTCCAGGTGGAGAAGGTGAATCACCGAGTGAGCGTGATTTAAGTTCACCTCTCCTCCGCTGGCAGCTCCCTCTCTTTAGCCCAGATGTAGTGTCAGAGTGCACGTTTGGTCCTACCATACTGCCGTGTGAGTAAAAGGGAATTGCTTAAAACCAACATAGTTAGACTGGACAAGGAATGCATATGTAGGCAGTTATCCACATTTTTCATGGGCCAAATTGTTGATGAGAGCTGCAAGCTAGTAGAGAAGGCTCTGTTGAGTAATTTACTATGATTTTTTCCAAAGCAATTAACAGTTCTTCCACACTACTTCTGCATTTCAAAGCCAGCTGTCCAAGCACATGAACAATTCCAGAAAGCAGATGGCTTTTCAGCTTTCACAGGTTCCTCTTCAGAGCAAGCGTTAAAGAATACTGCTTCCTTTTCAATATAACCACTGTCTACATACCTAGCATAGCCTCTTACCTGCAGAGGTCCTGGGAAACAGTCTCAATGATGGGTCTTTAAAAACAAAACAAAACAAAAAAAGACTCAATTTGAGTAATCCCTTCTCTGGGTGCTTGAGATACTTTAAAGAAGCCTAATACATAATAGGCACTGAGCATCCACCCCAGAGTGTACTTGAAGCAGGACACTAAAAATCATAGTACCTAAAAATGAGCAGATACTTTGAAAATTCTCACTGAGCGCCATTCAGTCATAAACTCCTACTGAAATTTCTTCCAAATCATTATACTGCATTGTGCTTATTTGTCTGAAGTCACAAAACAATTCTTTAGGTACTAGAAGTTCTACCTAATGCATATACGAATAACTGACTATCTGTATCCCAAAAAGGTTACAGACATGGTTGCAACCAAAGAGGAAATTGGATCTGATCCCTTGCTATCGTTCTACACCTGCAAACATCAAATGCCCAGGGAACTTTTCAGATAAGGAATTTCCATGTATACTGGAAGCAGACTACAAGCATTAACAAGCTATACAGCTAGCCAGCATTTTATTGATTTATAGACAAATAAATAAAGCCCAATTTGTTCCATAAGAAAGCATCAGACATTTATTTACTTTTTATGCCACTTAACCCTGAAGGATTGCAATGGTACGTGGGTACCATTTAAGTGCTGATCATACTCTTTTAAAGAAGCACTGCTGAAAAGAAATAATGACAACCATATTTATGCTAAAAATGCACCTTATTCGTCAATAAGATGGCATTATATTTTTGCTAAGAATGGCTGAGAGTGGGCAAGCTCCTGTTCTCATGGCAGTAACCTTTTCAGATAAGCAGGTCATTAATAGGATACCCCCTGGGTAGGGGGACCCAAGACTTATTTCCATCATATTTGATTTAATATTATGCTTAACCTCAGCTTCAGTAAGGTCAACACAACCAACTTGCAAGGAAATGGAACTATAACAAATAAGCTCGAGGGATAAACCTAATATAGCATCAAATCTTGCTCTCCTCAAGCTTGATACTTCTGCTCTTCCATAAAGAGCTTGCCTTTGTCTATATAAAACTTCTATGCAGGCAGGGCATACTCCAAGACAGAGCTCTAAGAGAAGCAGCTGGAATAAGCACAAGAGTGACTGTTTCCAGAAACCCACTGTTTCTGCAAATTAATTTGCAATAGCAGATGATGAAAATCTGGGCGGAGTTAATGCAGGGTGGGCAAAAAGCGATGTGAGGTTCACCCATATTCTCTAATACAAGAGAGTGGAAGAAAAAAAATGGTGTATTTTCTTTTGTCCTGGTTTCAGCTGGGATAGAGTTAATTCTCTTCCTAGTAGCTGGTACAGCGCTGTGTGTTGGATTTAGTGTGAGAATAATGTTGATAACACACCGATGTTTTAGTTGTTGCTAGGTAATGCTTACACTAGTCAAGGACTTCTCAGCTTCCCATGCTCTACCACCTGAGAAGACTGGAGATGCACAAGAAGCTGGGAGGGGGCACAGCCAGGACAGCTGACCCAAACTGGCCAAAAGGGTATTCCATACCATGTGACGTCACGCTCAGTACATAAACTGGGGGGAACTGGCCGGGGGGGCCGCTGCTCGGGAACTGGCTGGGCATTGGTCAGCAGGTGGTGAGCAATTGCATTGTGCATCAATTATTTTGT